TTTAGTGCTTCATTTCCAGCAGGATTTTGCCACTGTTTTGGCATGCATGGGGTCTGTTTGGTGCTGGTTTAGTCCATCGATCATTGTTTTGCATGATTCTAGTGTTGTGTCATTCACTAGCTTTTAATGCTTAAGTGTTCTAGTATGTTGTGCGTGAGTGCTTGCATGTTAAAGTCTTGCATTTCATGCCAAGATTAGGATGTTGTTCGCATGCCATGTTGCTTCCTTTGCATTGTGTTCAATCGGATGTTGTGTTGAACACAAGGTGGATTAGTTCATTTCATACTTGAAGTGATAAAGTGAGCCAATCTGTCTTGGTCTCCATTGCCTTTGATCTCTCGTGATAAGGAGATGGTCTAAGTGTCTTGTTTGTCATGCATTTATTGAATTTGTACATGTTGGATCTTTGGCCATCATGCATTGGGATGCTTGGTTGATGGTCTTGGATCCAATGGTGCCTCTCCCTTGATGTTTTGAGGTGATATGGAGTGGCATAGTACGTACATACCCTTGGGAGACCCTCCATTTCCTCTGTTTTGTGCTCTGTTGCAGCTTGGTGTCACAACACACCATTGGCCGGCAGTTCTTCATTGTTGGCCTGCACCCTTTCATCTGTGGCCAGCAGTGTGCATCCTTGGCCGGCAGGGGGGTCGGCAGCAGCTTCTCATGGCCGGCAGGCCATTGGTGCACTCCTAGCACTGTTTTGGTAAGTTTCAGCAACAAGCACTGGGAGACACCCTGCAAATAGAGCCTCTGGAGAGCAAACCGGAGAGCTTTTCGGGGCAGAAACTGAGCATGCATCATTTATTGTTCAAGGCGGAGTTGTGGCAGCCTAATTTAGATGCTTTTCATACTTAGTTGGTTTTGTAACTTAATTAATTTGATTAATTAGTTGGTTTGTAATAATTAGTTTAGTTAGCATAGCTAATTGGCTAAATTCATTCGGACCCTCCGTCGAGAGGGCAAATGCTGTAATGTGAATGTCTTCCAACCCCACGTCTTTCTCCCTTTTATTTACCAGCTTTTGATGGTTAGTTTTAGGGCATGCTTCAATTACTATACTTATGTTTGCATGCGTGCATCATTCATTTTGTCTTACATGCACCGGGCTCGGCGCATCATTCAAACTGTATTGTATTTCAATACACTTTCTTGAATGTGTGTTTCAGAGCATGTTATCAAGTGTTGCATTCATATGCCATTTTAAATAGCCGAGCCTATTTTAGTTGCATTTTTGCACGTGTTGCATTAGGCATTTTAACATAGCTAGGATCATGCATGATTTCTAATTAACTTTTGTTTTGGCTCGGAGTACACTGTAAGTGTTTCTGCTTTAGCATCCTTGCATGTGTGTAAGTGACTGCCATGATAGCATGCTTGCCGTGAGGCTATGTGCTTAAGTGATTAACTGCTTGAATGCCTGTGGATGAAGGCTTCATTGCTTGAATTGGAACAATTCAACGATTGTGAGTTTTAAGCCCACTTGAGGTGCAAAATCATGTTGTTTTCTAAGCCCACTTGAGGGTGGCAAATCCGCGTCTTAGCCTACTTGTGAGTAGCACTTTCAAACCATTTTCGAAAAACAAACATGAGATGTTTTGTTCCAATTCTTGCAATTGAGTCTATGCTTGTATGCTGTACGCATCACATAGTAATTCTAGATTAATAACCGGAATAAGAACACATGTGTTTATAAAAACAACATATCATGTTAGTAGAGGCCGATCTTTGATCGGGCGAGCCGGAGTGCTCATTTCAGGACCTTCCTCTCTTGTACCCAAGTTCCCGAGCCAAGGCAACTTTGGTGATGACGGACACGTGGCCTTAGGCACGAGTCAGGGTTTCCTAAATTTCCCAAAACAAAATATTTAGGTGGCGACTCTGAAATCTGGTAAAGCAGTCCATGTTTGGCGCTTTTTTTGATTAAAATTAGTTTTTCAAAACGATTTGCCAGATTTGAACTCTTTGGTGATTTATCAATCTTACATTGCACTTTGTAAGATTAGATTCAGAACCGTGACAGGAGTCAGAAATGTAGTAGCTAAGAACCCAATTCACGCCCTCGCGCGCGGAGCGGAGTTCGGGGCTATCTACACCAGGCTACTTGGAAACATTCGACACACGAGGGCTTCATTATCAGCATGCAACGTCATCACTTGTTTGTAATGACGAATGTGATCCATAAGGTCTGACTTACCATCATACAAGGTGAACGTTGGTGTTTTAAACTTTTTAGGCAATACAGCCTTTGCAATGTGTAGACACCCCATTTTTTACCGTCCTTACGACTCGAACGTCATCGTTTGCACACCCAATGATGAGTGTATATACTTGCTCGAAGTCCTCAGCGGCATGCCACAACTTTAAACCTTTCAAACCTTGCACCCCTGTTACCTTGTTTTTGGACCAAAACCTTGGATTTTCAAGCCTGCAACCTCTGGTGGCCTGCCAGCCATTGCTATGGGTTGTCGGCCATTGCTCCTGGTTGCCGGCCACCAATGTGTTTTGCAGATATTTTGTGACAGCTATGCCAGCTGTTTGCACAGATGCGCCAGCTGTTTGCACAGATGCGCCAGCTGTTTGCACAGATGCGCCAGCTGTTTGCACAGATGCTTGTACCTGCTCCCACGTGTATGGTTGGATGTTTCTGAGGGGGGTTTCATGTTTTTCTATATATACAGGACCTCCCCTCTTGCTTTGAGGTTAGAAAAATTTTGGGGCAAAATTTTTCCTCTCTCTACAATTCTATCTCTCTCTTGCAAATTTTTTCACCTTTGCCTATACACTCTTCACCTTTGCCTATACACTCTTAACCAAACCTCTCCATCTTTGAGCTGAGGTATCTTTAAGCCTTGTTTGAGCTCTTGAGGGTGTGTTTGCCTTGCTTTATTGCTTGAAAATGATCTCCACTTTAAGAGGTATAAAGCTTTGTCTCTCTACTTTATTCTTTTTCTTACTATTTTCCAACTGTTTTCGGGCTATAAAAACTCTATATTTTTGGGCTGAAACTTGGGTTTTAACGCCAATAAAGGTTGAGTGGTGGTTCACCCTTCTTCACACCTTGCTTTCAAGGCCTTTACCCTTGTGTTTCCCACCTTTACATTATCTTTTTTTGAGCTTTTAGCACTGATTTTCAGAGTTATTTCAGTGGCTAAAATCATGGTTTGAAGACCAAAATTGGAGGGGTTAGCCTCCCCTCCTTGTGTTTTGCTTACTAGCCTAGCATGATCCATGTTTTTTCTTATTATTCTAGCTATTTTTGTCTTAATTCCAGCATGTTTTAGGACTATTTTAGCACTATTTTTAAGTGTTCATTGCATTTGAACCTTATATTGTATGCTCGTAGTGTAATTGTCCTTATGAGTTTGGTGTTTTAGGCCTTAGACACCACCTTACTTGAGTTGTATGCATTTATTTATGGCTTTCCATACTTCTGATCACTCTTAATCACCTCTGCAACCTCCCTCCTTTCTTGGCTTTTGATTTGCTTTGAAAGTGGTTTCAAACTACTTGTTTGTTTAAGCATGAGATTGAGATGTCATGATTAATGGTTTAATCCCTTTGGAGGTTCATTACCAACGGCATGATGTCTCTTTCATGCCCAAAACAACTCTTGGTTTGAGCCCTCTTTCCATTCGAGGACTTAAATTCACTTGTGGACTCAATTGACTAAAGAATGGATGTTAATCTAAAATAAAGTAATAAAATTGGTGAATAAAAAAGGTGCAAGATAATAACTTGTTTGGGTTCAATCGGACGTTAATTGAACCCTTGAGTTTTAAGTCGTTTCATACTTGTTAGTGATGAAAACGGTTCAAGATTCATTGTCCACTACTTCGCTCGATCTTTCATGATAGGGAGGTGGTTTTGAGAGTCTTGTTTTATTGCATTCATTGAACTTGCACACTTGATTCATAAGCCATCATGCAATGAAATTACATCCATTGATGGTTTGTGAATCAAACTTACTACTCATTTGACCTGTTCAAATGATAAGGAGGGGTAAATTGTGCAAACAAACCCTTGAGAATACACTGTCTTTGCTCTGTTTACTCTTTGTTGTAGCAGGAAAGTCCAGTCATCCATGGCCAGCAGGCCATTACTGGTGCCCGGCAGGCCATCATCAGTGGAAGGTAGGTCCTTTGCCGGCCACCAATGCAAAATCCAGCAATGTGCTTTTGAAGCTATGTTAGGGATTCATGATTGGGCAAGGTTTCCTTTTCGGATTTACTTTTTTTCATTATATGAGGTAGGGACTTTCTTCGTATTATTACCTTAAATCTATGTTAGGGATATTTTGAGAAAATATATTATCAAAGGAGGCATTGCATATACATATTTCTCATATTTTTGTGTGGTTGATTTTTGGAAGAAAATTATGTTGAAATGTTAAGAATATTGGTATTTTGAACTTGATTTGGAAAAAATCATCTTGTATTGATAATTTTGTTAAAAATCCAAAAATATAATTTATAGTTGTATGGGTTGTATCTACACACTAACAAAAAAGGATTTTTACGGCGCGCAATGCACGTCGTAAAAACCCTTCTACGACGTGCAGGCGCACATCATATTATAACCAGTCATAGAAAGTCATTCACTTTCAACGACATGCTTCGTACGTCGTTAAAAACTATTTAACGACAAATTTTGTGCGTCGTTATTACTTTTTCTACGACATGCTATAGTACGCCGTTAAAACTATTTAACGACAAATTTTGTGCGTCATTATTACTTTTTCTACGACTACTTTTGCACGCTGTTAATTGGTGAGATAAATAATGACACTGATTGCGCAACGTAAAATATGTAATACAACGACTTATTATGTCTGTCGTAGAATATATAATTTTTTTTTTTTAAATTCAGTAGGTTCTATTTGACCAATTTTGTACAATCTAACAAATATTATAAACAAGCATCACAAAACATTAATCAATCATCAAAATATTGTTTGAAACATCAAAAAGAAACTATATCCATAAATTATAAACATTCAACAATTGTCTATACATTCCAAACATTCAAAAACTATATCCTTAAGTTCTAAACTATACAAAAAGTTTAAACCATCCAAAACTATGCATATCTAACTTTCTAAACATATCGACAACTTTCAAGATTTATCGAATAAATCTAGTGATTGTGCGATCATACACCTCCACAAAAACTCCAAATGCAAATCTGTCTTAAATCCAAACCTCCTCACAATGTGATCAACAAATGATAGTGGGGTCAGAGAATTCATCTTCCATTGAAGAGTAGATAGCACTAGAAGCTCCATTCTCTGGATTATCTTGGCTTCAAACACAAACTTTGATTCCTCCACCTAATCACAACACAAAGAAATAAATCAATGACAACACAAAGAAATAAATCAATGACAACACAACACAAAGAAATAAATCAATGACAACACAAAGAAATAAATCAATTCCTAAGCTTCCAAACTGACCATAAAACAGCAAATAGAATGGAATTCTAGATTTTCCTCTCCAGTCTTGACAGATTTACACCGGCCCACCATTGGAGTAAGTCATTAACAGAGCCTGGTAATGCCCAAACTAAACCCCACCATCTAATAACATGTGACCAAAGTAACCAAACAAGCGGACAGTGCAATAACACATGATCATCAGATGCCACCTCAGTCCTGCAGAAAATAGAAAGAACAATAGCATTATTATTGAGAACTCCAATCCTTTGAAGATAGCTGGATGATTTGATCCTCCTTCTCCATGCCAACCACCCAAAGAATTGAGCTTTGGGAGGGGCAACATTTTTTCAAATAGAAGCAGTAATTATACAAATAGGGCCCAAGGACAATTCAAACCAATGATAGGCTGAGGAGACAGAATCTATTTGAGCAACCAGTAGGCCACCTTAAATTGTCAAACCTGTTGTCTCTAATAGCAGGTGCAGTAAGTAGAGCATCATTTAATCTCATTATTTCCTCCACCTCCCAATAACTGGGAGGAGTGGGACTTGAACCTTTTACCACTTGAGCAACACACAATATACAGTAAATATTTTGTTTTAATTTTACCTATTTGAATTGCACATGAATCGCATATGCCAACCGCTAGTTATATATAATTCTTTCCACTTGCACGAAGTATATTATATGGCAATTTTGGAAATGGTAGTCTTAATTACAAAATTCCAATCTCAAAAAGAGCATACGTACCAGACCTTTGGGGCATCACAGAATAACTTCAGTAGCAGGTTGGTCTGCTCCAATGCTTGCCAAACATGCTCCTTTGCGGCTCATTTATTTCCACACACTATTTGTAACAAGAATAACATATAAAGATAACAAAAGCAAAAAAAAAAAACAACAATAATAATCAAATTTGCAGACACATCAAAGAAGCAACACCGCAGGAAAAAGCATCAGGAGTGGGGATGGCCAAAAAGTTCTCAATGTAAGCTACACATTTCAATAAGTTCATGATTGTCCACAAATAAATCTTCTATTGTCCACACCCCAATGATCCATTTGTTCCTAGGGAATTTCATCCCGTAAGATAATAATTGAAATTTTAGAACAATTAAAGAAATAGAAAGTTTCTTTGAAAGCATCTAATAACACCCATTCATCAAAACCCAAAGAAAGGGTTATTTCACAAGGAGAGATGAAGAAATCATCACAAATGACAACAGAACTAAAATGTTATTTCATGATAATTACATAAAGGATCCCACAAATGATATAAATTTTTTATTTTTATAAATGTATAAATAGAGAATCCTTCTAAATAATACAAGAAAGAAAAGTCATCTAGAATGCTATATGGAACAGATAGAATACTTTCATTATGTGAACTTCCACATCCCCTGAAGTATTTTGTATTTCGCAAAAGAGAAACAAATAAAAGCAAAGAAATTGCGTACATATGGCAATTATACAATTCGCATTTGCTTATTGCCCTAGAATAAGTAAATAAGATGTAAAAATTGAAAAAGAATCCAATTGACAATGTAAAAACAAAAGTATGTTTTTCACACAAGTTGCACAGTTTAGTTAGTGTAGGTCAAACCCAAGAAGCTAGATAAATGTCATAGCCATAAAGAACAATTAGCATGGTCATCTATAAAATCTGCATATGCATATCAAATTTTAAAAAAAAATTAAGACAGAAAAATGCACTAAAGATAAAGCTTACATTTAACTTTGATTAAGCACTGATAGTTTGTTTGAAATAACATGACTACCCATTTGATTTGAAAAGAGAATCGCATGACTCCCCTTCCATAGATAACATTGATGCCATTCTTGTTTCCACCAACGCATCAGTAGTCCCTGTTGTATTGTATCATAGTTGTCTATTCAAGAATCCTATAACGAATCAAAATCCTAATTGTGCGAATTGTGAATCAAATTGAATCAAGAATCATAAGATTTAGCACAAACTATAAAAAATGATGTTAGACAATTGTATATATTGTGGTGGGGGTGGGTTTGGCACAAGTTACAGTTCTATAGAAGTGAGCAATACCATCTAATTTCTAAGATACTACCTTCAGATGTGGGTCTAAATCCCACAAACAATAAAATATGAAAAAAATATCGAAAACCAAACAATTAAGAAAATATGAAATAATGAAGAAAATATAAAACAAAGAATTGTGAGACTGCAATAAGAACTACGAAAATCAATAAGAATACACACAATTACCAAGTAATCAAATAGAGTTCTAAAATTTAAGATCCAGCCCTCATGATCACCATTTCTGTTGTATAAAGACTTAACTCTACCACACTTGGCTTTTACTTTTGGTTACATCCTTTTAACTCCTAGACTGTAGACACCCCATTTTGACCGTCCTTAAGACTTGGACGTCACCGTTTGAACACTCGGTGATCATCCATGTTTGTGTTCGTTTGGAGTTCCCGGAGGCCTCGGCTACGCGCCTTGCCTCAGGATCTCCGAACTCGACCGTTTAGTGTCTGGTTTTGCACCAAACACTTGTGTTTTGCCTTCGAGAGGCAGGGTAGGGCTTGTAGACCATCCCCACCCACCACCGGCAGTGGCTAGAGGCCACCGGCTGGTTTTCGCCGCCACCTGTATACATTGCCGGCCGGCACCTTTTGTTGCTGGTCAACACTATTTTGGGCCAAGATGGCATTTTTGGCCGGCCGACTACTGTGCATCTGCTTTTGCAGATATTTTAAGACAGTTGTCTTGCCTTTTGCTCCCCTCCATACACGTGTATGGAGGGATCTCCCTCTTATGAAGCTTGTCTTGTAAGCTTTACAAGACAAGAAGTGCCATATAGAGAGAGGTGGGGTCTCTTGGCTAGGGAGGTTAGACTTAAGATATTTTGAGAGCTTAGACAGCCATTGTTAGGGTTTGAGTTCTAGGGTTAGGGTTAGATACACACTCTATCTCTCTTTCCCTCTCTTTTGTGCTCTTGTGTGTGTTTTAGTCCATACTATTGCACACAAGCACCTAGTGTTTCACCTTCCTCTTGGAACTGAGGTTCTAAGGGACTGATTTTGAAGTTTTGGTGTTGGATTCAAGCTAAAGGAGGCCATTGGAGCACCATGTTTGAAGGGGTCATCAAGGGTAAGAAACTAACACCTTTATTCCCCATTTTTGCAATGATTTTCTACCTATCTTAGA